TGATCAAGGTGACGAACAATACGATTCTTGGTTCGAGTACAAAGTGCCAACGAAATTTTGTCAACTGTTTACGTTGCACAATAACAAAATTTTCAAATAAATATTTGTCGGTGGGTGCTTGATTCGATCGAAGCTCTGTTTTACAAAACTTGTCGCGCCATATCTTGGGCAATCTTTTTGTTTCGTGAATCGCAATAGAGAAGCCGCGATTCAAGAGATACTGTTCTGAAAACTTCTATGAATGAATAGAATAGCTTAGTGAGAGAGTTATTCCACGAGCTATTCCAAAAAAATGAGTTTGAATACGATTGCCGCGCGAATAGCTTACGTCATCCTCGATGTTATCTCTAAACTATCATGTGGGATAGCTCGTTCATTTGTTATTCAGATATTATGCTCATTTAGCAATATCAAAGTAAATCATAATATTTAGTAAGAAGTTTTGATTAATTTCTGAGAAAAAATGGACTTGTGTAATTATATAAGATAATATATGATATTATTGTATATCCGTTTTTTCTCGGGCTGTTAAATAAACATACAAGAATATTGTTGATGAGATTTGTAAAAAAAAAAAAAGATCTTCATGTGTTTATTCACGAGGCGCATATAAATATCTACGCGTGAGTGGTCACATGTGCCTTGTGGATAGCGTACATGTTAATCGTAATAATTGAGTCTTATCTGCGCGTATATGATAATAGTTATCGCATGCGGCACGTGCGGTACTTGTATAGTTTTTCAGCGCGTGCGTCGATTACGACAGGAATAAAATGTTGCACCGTTGTCATTAAGTTATTCCCCCACGGTGATTGTGCGCGATCGTTGCATCGCATCGCGAGTGCAATCGTGATTAACGATCTCGAGTAGCACTGTCATCATCGCGACCGTGTATTGCGAAGGAGACACTACCGTGTGATTCACCGTCGGCGTTTTTCTACGTTTCTAGGAATTCTCGTGAAACCATTGCAGACTAGAAATGCAAAACGCGCGCGCGCGACGCACGTGCCAAGAACATGTTTCGCGCTTCTTACATCTCTCTGCTTTTAATGTGCAAATAATCTTTCCTGTATTTCTCCCGAAAGCACCGTTTTCTATTAATTTTTTTATTAATACACTCTCGACTATAAATATGCAGTGAAAAGATTGATAAATTTGTTAATAATAGAAATAATCTACTTCTCAGACAAGACTTTCTTCAAACATGATTTTTGATGATATGATTTGACTTTCTTCAAATGATTTTGGAATAATCATCAGAATTGATGATTGATTTGTATCAGAGAAAATTATTTAAAATATATATTTTACAACTCATAAATTATTAAATAATTTATTTATATAATTCATTTTTTATTCAAAAATATGTTTCCAAGTTTTCACAAATTAATAATCTCTAAGCAAGAATAGAAAACGCATATTTATATAAATACTAAAATATTAAAAATCTTACAGATTATTAAGCCACGATTAAATGAAAAGAGAATTCAATTTTCTTCCCTGATAACGTATGTAAAAAAAGCCAAGAACATGTTTCGCGCTTCTTACATCTCTCTGCTTTTAATGTGCAAATAATCTTTCCTGTATTTCTCCCGAAAGCACCGTTTTCTATTAATTTTTTTATTAATACACTCTCGACTATAAATATGCAGTGAAAAGATTGATAAATTTGTTAATAATAGAAATAATCTACTTCTCAGACAAGACTTTCTTCAAACATGATTTTTGATGATATGATTTGACTTTCTTCAAATGATTTTGGAATAATCATCAGAATTGATGATTGATTTGTATCAGAGAAAATTATTTAAAATATATATTTTACAACTCATAAATTATTAAATAATTTATTTATATAATTCATTTTTTATTCAAAAATATGTTTCCAAGTTTTCACAAATTAATAATCTCTAAGCAAGAATAGAAAACGCATATTTATATAAATAAAAAAATATTAAAAATCTTACAGATTATTAAGCCACGATTAAATGAAAAGAGAGAATTATTTTCTTCCCCGATAACGTATGTAAAAAAAAAAAAAAAGGCAAAGAGAGATCAATCATTCGTTTCGGCAATGGCGACACGCATCGCTTTAATGAATTTCACCGTGAATCCGATCGGTATCGCTACGACAGGAAGATACAACTTTTTAGTTTCTACTTTTTTATACAACGCAAGAGCGTTTCCTAACATCCGTTCTCATTCGCGGAATCAAAGCGATTACCCACGTCGCGTCGCGACTGCGCGCTCGCGCGTCCGCAGATGGGCGCACGCTAGGCTTCAGTTAAATTACCGTCGCCTCGGTCGGAGAGAATATCACGTGGCACGGCCGATTCTACCTTGCTCACAATCGTAACACAATAATAAATCGTAAATTGCACGACTGGAACATGGAAAGCAAAATGATAACGTTTTAATTCAACCCTTATCACCCGTCCCTCCCTCCGTTCGTAAAATTTATTTCGGGACTTCCCTTTACTAATTTTGATAAAGTGTACGCAGGCGATAGCGGTGCTCAAATTGGCGAAAAATTAAAATTGAACTTTAAATTTGCGAGAGAAAATGTTTTCAAATTTTTCTGGAGATTTTTAATCAAAAAATTCTATTCGCGCTCCTTTATTATTTGTATTTTATTAAATAAAATAAACCAGTTTATTGTAGATGAATAATATACGAGTTGATCTTCAAGAAGTACTTCAAGAAACCACGTCTAATTCGAGCCTAAGGTAAAGAATTCTATTTTGCTTGCACTTATTTTATGCTCCCTTTCGGCACGAGACAAATTATGTATTCGAGACGAATCTCGAGTTTTGTGGAGAGTTACCGTTAGTAGTCTCGTCCTTAGATCGCGTAAGACGATTAAGCCGAGGTTTCAGTACTGATGATGAGACGACATGAATAATCGATAAGGAAGTACGGGGTTTTACTTAACGGGAGTTAAATCATGGGCAAATATCTCCGCTTCCTGCCTCGTCATTTCCTACGATCTGCATCTCTATCTCTTTAGCTTCCCATTTTCCTGCATCAGTATTCCTCTCTCTTCTCAACTCCCCCCTTTTTCGTCATCCCCGCTTTCCCTGCTCCTTTTACAAAAAAGTCTCTTCCTTTTTCTTTTTTTTTATATTTTCAATTTTTTCTTATTTTGTTATTAATATATTCGTTGTGTTGTCGCATAGTAATATCTTTTTCAATATATATCGAAGTAACTAGTGAGATACCTTTGAACGTACATCGAATAGCATTGTCGCAGATTTAATAATACAGATAAAAACATATGAGATAAATTAATTTTTTTTATACTTAATATATTTATTATAAAATATCGTATGCAATGTATGATTAAATTCAATATATTTGTGCATAAAGTACAGTCGATATAAAGATGTTGCTAAAGTTCATTTTTAGAATACAAAAAAAGATTTAATTTGTTAATACTATTTAGTCTTTCCAACAATTCTAGAAATGTAACTGTTTTAATCAATTCAAAAAGTAGACGCTAAATAGAACAATGAATATAAACATGAAGCCAATTATTTTTTTCACAAATCTTTCGAAAGATTCTCGATTATATACATAAAATTTGTTACGATTTTACGTTAAAGATTGATAAAAAACGAAACTTCTATTTTTGCACTTGCATCGTTTTCCCGACAGCTCGGTGTTCCACTTCCATCTTCCGCATGGAAGTATAGATATTTTTCTTTTGAATTTTATCTGCTTTGTTAAATCTCGAACGCGCGTTTAAAGCGAACTTGACTTGCTATTTTGAGCGCGCACGTACCACAACAAGAGGGCACGAGAGGGGGACGGGGGAGGGGGGGGATTTAAATAGGAGGGACCGAGCAAACCTCTAGGCTCGACCATTGACGGTACGTCGCGAGATCGAAATTCGAGTGAATTCTTTGGTGCACGCGAGTACATCCCCGAAAAACGTCTAAGTGGCCGCGGCAATGGCGCTGCACCATCCTCGGCGGATATCCGGGATGGGAGTTCTTTCTATGGCGCTCCGTCTTTCTTCTCCTACGCCTCTCATTCTCCGGTCCGCGCTACGTACGAAGGTAAAAACGAGGGGCCTCGATTCAACGAGGCTACGAAACGCGAGATACCTGGGGGAGGAAGGTGGATAAGGAGGAGAAGAGAGTTGGCCACCACCCGCGCGCACCGCCCTATCGTCCTTTTTGTCATTGTCCGCCGGAGTCTTTTTGCTCGCACGTTACGCCGTAACGTCGCGATTTTACGGAAATTCGATCGGTTTTGTTCGACAACGATGACGGAAGGTGCCCGCCGCAAAAAGGAGCGTAGTGCGTGCGCGTTCCTTGCACGATTAGCCCCGCGTTTGTAACGCGGGGTCACCGGCGAATATCCAGTGTATACAAGAAACGCATCGAGATTCAAATTGTTATCTTTATATAATTCTTATTTTTCTGATAGGAAAAAAATTTCTTTTTTTTTTTTTTGTATTGCTACGAGTGTGACGTAAATATCGTTAATTTTATTTGTTTTGAAACTTTGCATTCAAATTTCACGTTAGTAATCCAGAGCTTAAGATAGCTAAAAAAAAAGTTCGCGCCTTTTCAGTAGAATTACAGAGATCGTCTCGTTGCGTAAGAGAGATTAGTAATTTTTTATATTAATAATCATTTTATATATTATCTATTATTATCTATTATTATCTAATAGTTATTATCTATTATCATCTAATAATAAAAAATGTAAATTATAACGTAAATTATAATATATTAAAATATACATCGAATCCAGCCGATTAATTGTAAGATAGTGAACTTTTAGATTAATCTATTTCATCAAGCTACATTAAAAAAATTTCCGTTGGTTTTATATATATCATATATACATGTATAATAATATTTTATGTAAGAATCTAAACAAAACAATTAATTGTGTGTTTAAGGATTCGTCACACAGGCTTAAGCATTGTTTATTTCGAGATAGATTGATGACCTCGATTATATGAGATGATATAAGAAGGAGACACATACTTTTCTGCAGGATCTCGAGATGCTCCCATAGGATGTCGCCCATGAAGGTGGTGGGGGCACGTGCTAGAAAGGATTCCTTCCCCATGGCACAAATCTGTTTCCCGGTCATGTGCTGCCACGGCTGCATCGCCATAACCTCCAGGGAGAATTCTCCGATAGCCCACTGCAACCAGTTGGCGACAGCTGCTTCCGACCATTGCCTCGGGTCTGAAAAAGAAAACAAGAGCCGGATTGTTTTTTAGCAGCTACCACCTAGGTGGATTCTATCCTCGTTGGTCGACCCCTTATCGCCGATCCTGGCGATAAGAAAGGACCTTTTCTCGTGTCTCTCTATTGGCCAGAGGATACTGGAAGATCGTATCTCGATCTCAATCTTAATGTTTTATCTCGAACACGAGACTATATCGTCTCTCGCAAAAGTCGGCGTTTGAGAAAATTGTGATAACGTAAATTTGTTTTGTTCTTGTTTTCACAAAACGCGGTCACGTTCCCTGGATTACTTTTTGCCTTTTATACTGCAAGAGCGGACTTTGAAAGATTCAAGATTTCTGAGTAATTTGGATTCTCGCAGATGGCGATCATCTGAGAGCGAGCTCGTTAAGACCCTGCCCGAGAGTCATCGAAGAAACGACATACGTTCGTCCGTTGACGGCCCGATCGTTAGTCAGGCCCAGCCAGCCATCTTTGGTGGAAGCGATACCGAGAAACATCGGAATGTCCCATTTGAGGTGCGCGCCCATATTTGCACGCGTGTCTTGCATTGTTTCGTGGTATCTCGCTGCGTAAAAGTACAGTTCGGCTCATAATGCAAACAGAAGTTACCAACGTAGCGACTCGCTAATGTATACAGCTTTGCTCTCACAATCTCGTAACCGTCCTTTAACACTGACGTCGTGAACAGGATGGTCGAACGATCCGAGTTCTATTCTCGTAAATATCTTCATGAAAGATCGAAATACAGAGTGTCTCGAAAAGATTATCAAAATTGTGAAATAAATGTTTTTTAAAAATATTTTTCTCAGGCTGTGCCGTGCGTAATTTTACGCGTTATCATTGCAATATGTTAGGTATATCGATACGATATTAATATAAAAAAGAGAGACGAAAAAAAAAAGAACCGTGATATCTCGTAAAAACTATTATTTACGCTATTTAACAAGGATATGAAAATTAATCGAATAAATTAATATTTTCAAAAATCTTTATTTTCAAAAAAAAAGCTTTTATCAATTAAAAATTGAATTTAGATTTAGAGAGTGAGATTCTTTTATAGAAATAATTTCGAATAAGAAAAAGATTAAGTATTCAAGCTTATTCACAATGCAAACTACATAGTAATAAATTCAATTATAGTCCTTTCTGATATCCATATCTGCATATTAAAGAATTTTTAATATGCGACAAACTCGATAAATGCAAATTCGATAAATAACATGATAAGTGTTATTCGCAGAATCGATAAAGTATAAACTAAATTGACGTCTTTCGCGTGCTCAGAATAGGATATAAATATAAAAAAGGAGAAGGTAAGCGAGCATCGAGGCAACAAGAGTGTCTAACGGCACGGCACGTTCAAAGCGACCGCCTCTGTTTGATGATCGTACCGATATTTGCTCAACTTATTTCTTGTCAGTATTGTTAGCAGACTTTACACTCTCTTTCTCGCTTCGCATTTGAACACAAATCCACATTCACGCGTGCGCATGTCTATCCATTCTTCTTACTAGTCGATTGCTCTTTTCACCCACTATCTCTCTTCATTATATTAATTTTGTATTTACTCTTTATCCTTTCTCTTTCTATCATCTGGATAAACTTCTGTCAAAATGAGATAATTTGCATATCTCGACATCTATCAAGAGTGCGTCTAATGGTATCTGTTCGTTACAACGGTGAAGGTGTTTGAAGAGTGTTAAATGATAAAAGTAATCAAGTCCCTCATCATCGATTCTCAAACATAGATAATGAAGGTGAACAGGTGCCACCTTAAAATCCCTTAAAATCCAAAGTTACGGCCGTGATCACGAGATAGCAATCGGTGAATTTAGATACCTCTATTGTAATAGGCGTCTGTTACATTGGACAACACCATGTTTCGAAACTTAGAGAATTCGCAGAAGCGTTCATCTTCATACGTCGAAGGATTTTCACGCTTGTATTTATTATTCAAAAGAGATAGATTCTGAATAAATCATAATAGCAACTGCGATATGACTGCGTCGGAACGTAATTGTGAATGCACGCTGCGTCTTTTATATAGTAAGCGTATATTCTCTCATATATACACCCTTCGATGGGACGTAACAATACACATCGAACATCTTCAATGTGTGTAAATAATTTAATAACAATTTATATGTATTTTTCGGCGGAGCCAAATTAACACCCTTAATTTCTAAATTAATTATAAATAAAGAAAAATTTTATACTTTTTAATTCAAAATTTTTAATGTATCATTTATTATATAATACGTCATCATATGCATTAAGACATATTTCAAAATAATACTAATTTAAAGTATTATTATTCGCGCGCAGGGTGACTATATTAATAATATAGATTAATTTCCCAAAATTAGGACAAAAATTCAAGGAACAGAAGAACGAATAAAAAAAAATCGCAGAGAAATATAAAAAAAGGCCGGTCTCAGTTCGGGCTCAAAGTAAAATGGCAAGAGGAGAAGGAGGAGGAGGACGAGGTTTGTTCGTTAGGTTCACGGAGGTCAGACTGTAGGTGATCTGGCGTGGAGGGTACGAACTCGGGGCATGTAGACCGGAAGTAACGTCACACCCGCGTGGCTCTGAATGCGCATACCGGATGTGTGGCATCGGCTCCCCATCAGAACCATCAACATCACATTCACAATTCCTGCACATCGCCGGCCGGCTCGTCGCACATCGCGTCACATCGTGCGCACCCGCGTCTCCGTGTCTACGCGCGTCTCTTGCGCGCGCGCGCACGCACTCAGCACAAACGTTGTGTGCGCGCGCGCGTTCTCTCCCCTTCTCTGTGCTCGCAGCGATTTTTTAACAACTTGCGTAGTGAGGCGGTACCAGTATCGTGAATTCCGAATCTTGTTATGAAAATTGGGACCAAAATCAATTTCGCGCTCGTAAAAATTTTGAATAAATATATCGAAAGAATTGGTTTATTTGTAAAAAAAAAAAAAAAAAGAACAATTATAGCTTTAACATGGTGAACGTCGAGTGGATTTTCGATTACTCTTGCGAAAGTCTAATTAAAAATTGTACACGTAATTTTATGGTAAAGAAGTGCAATTTATCTTGCAATGTCTGCGATCAATGGATCTAAAAGCACGCGTTACATGACATTACGTAATTTTAGGATGGGAAGATAAATCAAGAATAAATCTCTGACCTTTAGTTATATTCAGGCGGAGTCGTTCCTTTTCCCAAGACGCGAAGACGGCCTCCAGAGCCTCGGTCATCTTCTTGTTGGTCCCAGGCGTTAACGGCGGCACTTGCGCCGGTATATCTAGAAAATAAAAACGAAAAAATAAATAAAACCTTAAATATATTTTAATCGCGTAGATTACATCCCCATATCTACTTAATATCTCTTGGATACTGGATTTAAGATTATTAGGAAACTCGAAAGGACGTATGTATACGCGAGGCATCGTGCATTTTTTTTTCGAAAGACTGAATTTCTCTCCTCCTACATTCCCATCCTAAAAAAAATTCTAACTTAATCCTCAAATCTCTTTCTTATTTAAAATTAAAATTAGGTTTAAGACAGAAATAGATTTCGGAGTGAAAGTGCAGGGTGAAGGACGAAACCTCATGCCACTTATGTATTCACTTAAATATGCAAATAAGTGACTAATGTAGAATTCATATTCGGTGAAGCTCAAATTATCACATTTAATACTCGTATGCATCATCAACTTTATGCGTTAATAATTGTTTAATAAATAATGAGCGGCAGCTAAAAGTCTTAAGATTAAGTTAAGTCTTAGGTTTTCAGATTACTTCGAATTATCAGCTTGACAATATATGTCAAAATTAATATCATATTTTCTGCCTGCTTTTTTAGATACATACTTTCAATTAATGATTTCAAACGTATCTTATTCGGGAATGAACTAACTATAACATACGTCAAGATTAAGATGTGCATATGTAATCAGTGGTGTATAAATTTGTATAAAAAAACTACCTGAATTAATCCCTCACATTATTTTCTAGTTAAGAGATACATAATTGCAAACAAAAATTCTATTAACCATATCTATCTGCGTTTCGTAATTGTTAACGTTCGTATAACATTCTTCAAGTTTAACGTTTCATAAAAAAAATATTGAGATGTGTGTCCGATATATATGATTCTATAAAAAAAATCACGTATTTATATGAGCAAGGGTATAACTGAATTTCTCGACACCACCAAAAGAAAAATCCCATGCAAAAGTTTTTGGCAAGTCGTGCGTTATGGATTTCGCAACGTTCGATAGAGAAGCGATATCCTCGTTGATTCTCAACAATGCCATTCCCGGTTCTAATTAAAACAGAGGCGTCGAAGTTAAAAACGCGCGATTCGCGCGGGTAGATTCGGTCGGCGGAACGAGAGGCGGCAACGAGGTAACAAAGCGTGGGGGAGGGAGGGGGATAGAGAAGAGAGGAGTCGGGAGCTTGTCCATGTGTGAGAAGGCAGGTTAATGTTGCTTCTCACAAGCAAGAAAGGTGAGCGCTCGCGCGTGTACGCACTGCACGTGTGCACGAGCGTGCGTCAGGTGTCGCGCGGCTACCAGCACGCGGGCAACGGCAAAGCGAGCAAAAGCGAAGCGACCGAGGGGCACACACAGCTATCTTAGATAGCATCGTCATAAAGAGGGGTGCAACTGCCGGCAGAGAGCAGGCAGGTGCATCGTCGTCGTCACTTCGCTTATTCTATGGTATTTATGCTGTGGCGAACGAGAGACGGTACTTTATTGCCGCTGCGCTTTCGCTGTCTCGTTTTGTCGTCCGCTTTTTCGCGCACAAAGTTATCAATTTTGCAATAGTACAGTGATGTTTGATCCATCATCACCTATGCACAATTATAATATAAAGAATTTTAGATAAACGTTCCCATTTCCTAAAGACGTTTTAGAACAAAATAATAAAAAATAATAATAAAATGAATGGTAAACTTCAGATAAAAATGTCATAACGATATGAAAATTATTTGAAAGACAACGAAATATTTTCTTTGTATGAAAATGTTATCTTAACAGAATGTGATAAAAATTAACAAAAAAATCGATAAGAATCACGGAAACACCACATCCTGGGAAGATTACGTTTATCGTATGTAAAAATTCTGGAAAAAAAAATTTCTTTTGTTGTCTTTCAATGTGAATTATCAATATTTCTCACGTTGTTAAGACGTTTATTTGAAATTCACTTCTATTTCGGGTCTTCATCGGAGACTTTCGAGACATCCTGTATGTGTCACGTTTGTGTCAAATTTTTATAGAAAAAGCATATTTTTTTTATATCGCAGAAAACGTAAAACGCATCGAAATTACACTCGGCCGCGTATCGACAGCTCAAAGATAAATGTCCCGCTCTGTCGTCGCGACGAACGAGCGGCGAAACGATCTATTGAAAATTCACGTGCCAACGCGCTACGCGACTGGAATTTCAAAGGGACGCAGTTTCGCAGGAATGACGTCTATGGTGGTTCTTACGCGCTCGTGCGGATGCCACGTATAATCGGCTTCGCGATTCATGACGTTACGCGTCGCACTCGGGATTTTTCCGTTTCGATCTGTCAACCCGGTCTATCGCTGACAAAAAAGATTTCTTCGAAAAAAATGCAAGTTATATATTTTAAATTTAATAATGACTAAATAAAATTTGTCTTGCTACAAATATAATACATTGCATGAGGGAAGCTCTAAAGTTCAAAGAAAATGTTATCAAGTTCTTAATGAGATACGAATGCTACTTTTTGATTAACATAATAGAATATTAAACATAATTATAATTAATAAAATAATAAAAAATATATATGAAAGCGTTAAACGACGTGATGAAAATGAAGATATTTATAAATCCAATTAAAAGATTTTTAAATTATAAAACTGGTGTGTGTTGGGCATGTGTGTGTGTCTGTGTATGTGTATGTATACAATGTTACAGAGTTAATGCTAATGAATCCTCGAAATGGAACAAACAGTATTCTTTTCACTTTTTCTATGGTTGTCTTGATAACTAGAGCAACCGTAAAATAATTTTAAAAAAATGTTAATTATATTATTCGTTTGATAAACGCTAAATTTACAAGACATGTGCGAAAAATATTACGCGTTCCTGAGAATTTTATTGATTAGAAAGTTCAAAATTATTGCAACTTAAAAGAAAGATTAACGAGTTGGATAATGGTATATGTGATGCAAAAAAGTGAACCTGAAACCTAAATACGTTCACGAATCTCTAAGTGTCGTTTATTATCGTTAAGGTACAATCTGTATAACGAGCTTTATTTGGTTATATTGCGTTATAAATCAGAACTCGTTCGTATCCGTAATGTATCATCGGTACCCTGAATATAACGGGGAGATCGAGATATCGCCTTGAGATACCTTCGCTGGCAGGTGTTGTATCGCGGATTAACGAGTTTTCCTTTTTCTTTCTTTTTTTTTTTTTATATATATAAAATGAATGCATTCGAAAAACCGATCAAATCGATCGAAGCTAGATGGAGCGCGATCGTTACTTAATCGAATGGAAATTCAAAACACCCGAGGCCCTCGACCCAAATGGCATTTGACCTGACACGTTCAACATAAATTTGCATAGCTTGCGTTATTTGCGAGCGATCGACGTGATAGCCAGGTATATACTTTCCGATCAATTAAAGTCGGCCGGTAAAAAATATTTTTTTATCCGATAATCTTAGTTGGGGGATCTAAAATACGCATTTAAAGTCGAGAATAATTAGGCACGCTTAAAATCTTCTGCAGCACTACGGCACAGCCTATAGAAAGAAAAAAAGAATCCGTGTCGAGAGACAATACATCAAAGATTTTTTTTCAATCGGATTCGTTCATAATTTCGATATTATCAGTCTTTAAGTATCTTAACAAGTTATCTTGTAAATTTTACAAAAGATATCAAAATCGTAATAATAATATTTAAATCTTTTACAAATTTAAATTCAGGAAGCATCGATTTAGTCATTAAAA